TCCATCTAGCTTCATTTTTCAAGGTAATTAACTTACGTTATTTTTAAATAATATTAAAATATATAAATGTCGGTTTGGTTCGGTTGAACCAAAAATTCACAAGCTCTAAACCAAGTTTCAAATCGAACTGGCTGGTTCCGGATAAAAGCCGAACCAAAGATGTTTCAAAACTGAAAAATTCGGGTTGGTTTCGGTTCGGGTTCGGTCGGGATCAGAATTTTCGAGATTTTTTTCTAGCCCCACACACACATATATAATTAAAACTTACTAATTCATAACTAAGAGACAAAGACAAATATTTCCTTTAATTTTCTTCCAATCCAATCACAAACCTATAAAATAAAAATTAATGAATCGCACATTAAACAAAACAATATTAACAAATAGGAAATTAACCTTAAATCAATTGGGAGAGAGAGAGAGAGAGAGAGAGAGAGAGAGAGAGAGTTAAAAAAATGGCGCGTAATTGTAAGGGTTTGCTCGACAAAATATAAGTTTGTTGGCTTGAGGTTTTTTACCAGATGAAACGTGTCGTCGGGCAAAGTGTTTATACCATTGGGCAAAGGGCCACACTGACCTATAAGAAATCCACCGACAAAAAAATTGCTTAACGATTTGATCCTTGCCCCACGAAAACTTTTCATCGTGTAACGACTTTGGCAAAACCCTAAATGTTGACCAGATTTGCTCGATCAAATGAAAGTTTTGTCCCGTAGAATTGGTTAACCCGACGAAATGTGGTTCGCCGGGCCACATTTCGAAAGGCAAGGACTATTTTCTAGTACCGTCTGCTCTAAGACGCGGTTCTTCTCGCCTTTAGCATCATGAGGGTTCTAGTACGTCTCACAATATTAAAAGAAAAAACCACAACCCAATTAGTCTCCAAAAGTAATGCAAACACCTTTTTATTGTTTTATTTTACCAAACTCCCAAAACATCTTTCTCAACACATGTATCTCGTGGAGCTTGGTCGATGTTACAGCTTAGATAAAGTGTCTTCACTAATTTCCAGTAATCCAACATTGTTAGGTCAGATACTTAAAGTAAGCACATTTTCCATATGTATCTAGTACTTTTTGTAAAGATACTGCTTCAAAGATTGAGTAATTGAAGAAAAGGATTTGAATCAATCGCGCATAGGATTCCACAGGATACATTTATAATAAAAAAAAATTAAATTAAATATTGAGTAATTGAATCTTTGTTACAGACCCAATGAAATTCATGGATTACATCAACACTAATCACATGTAATTAACCAAAGAATAAACTTAATGCGACTCTAAACTATTTGGCTTCTACTAATTGACGCGACTCTAAGCTATTAGACTTCTACAATGTCCAATTGGTCCTAGTGGAAGACCAATAGCTTAGAGTCACATCAAAACTGCAATATCTTCTCCTAAACAGTAGCGGAGCTACACTGGGGGCAATGTATGCTTACGACCCCAATAACCTAGTGCTCCTCCTTGTATTTTGTTGTCTTGACCTCATAATTAGTTCAAAGAAGACCAAATTTGAGGGTGTAGGTGGAGTGGTGCTAGGTATTTTGCATACCATCCAATTGGAATTTGGCTTCATCAATGGGACTGGAGATACGAATTTTACTTCCTAATTCATCTTTCGCTTGCCAATTAGAATATTAAAGAACTTATTTAATTACGTCTCTCATTAATTGTTTCAGCAACTATCTTCTTATTAAGTCTTGAAATTGATCACAATTTACATTATCATACCTACTATCAATGATGGAGTTTTAGTTTTTCTTTTCAATGGATTGAATTGATCTAATAATTGAGCATTTGTAAGACTCATGGCAACTGATCACATATATTTGGTAACTTTTTTAATACAACGATATATTTATACTCAAGGGTGGGGGAATGAATTGGCTGTGAACTCATCATTCACGAGACTCGAACCTAAGAACTCTCACTTACAAGTGAAGAGTAATAGTATTAGACAGTAGTATTAAGTGAGACATGTATTTATACTTACAAGTAGGTTAATTCATTAAGTTTTTTTTTCCTTGTGAAAAGCTTATTTCTCATGACCCCATTATTACAAAATTCTGGCTCCACCATTGCTCCTAAATATTATATATACAATGCTAGCTCATAGCCAAAGAGACACAGACGGAGAAATGGAAGATAACCAAAGTGTGCTAACATGGGAAGAGGAAGAAGAACATGCCAAGGTGGATGTGTGGAAATATGTGTTCAGGTTCGTTGAAATCGCGGTGGTAAAATGTGCTATTGAGCTCGGAATAGCTGAAGCAATTGAAACCCGTGGAAGCCCGATGACCCTCTTAGAGCTCTCTTCTGCTTTAAGATGCGATCCTTCTCACCTTTACCGCATCATGAGGGTTCTAGTACATCTCAAAATATTCAAAGAACAAACCACAATCCAATTAGGCTCCAAAAGTTATGCACAATCACCTTTGTCCCGCCTATTACTGAAATCCGGAGAAAATAGCATGGCGGCACTGATCTTGCTGGAGAATAGTCCGACAATGCTGGCACCATGGCACAGCCTAAGTTCCCGAGTTCAAGGAAATCTTAGGAATCCAGTGTTTGAGGAAGTACACGGTAAGGACCTATGGAGCTTTGGCGTGGCCAACCCTGATCACAACAAGCTCTTCAATGAAGCAATGGCTTGTGATGCAAGGTTGGCTGTGCCTGCATTGGTTAAAAGTTGTGTAGAGGTGTTCAAAGGGGTTGGCACGCTAGTAGATGTGGGAGGGGGTAATGGGACTACTTTGCGCTTGTTGGTTGAGGCTTGTCCTTGGATTCAAGGCATCAACTTTGATCTTCCTCATGTTGTCTCTGATGCTCAGAAGCCTGACCGCATTGAGAATGTTGGAGGCGACATGTTTGATTGTGTTCCGAAGGCTGATGCTGTAATTATCAAGGTTAGTGTTTATAGTTTGTGAAATAAATATTTAAATCATGATAAAGGAATAAAGAATGGTCTGACAAAGAAAGACAGAGAAAAGAAATGTTAGACCTAAATTGACGTATTCGTTGATCACATGATGTGTCCTTAAATGCTTACTTATTAAGATCATATAAACATTATTTATTAACACATCAACTGTTCCATCATGAGCTTCAAAAAGAGGGTGATTCCTCAACAATTTTTTTTGCTCAACAAGACATGTTACGTTAATTTACGTTTTCTTCATTTGCAGTGGGTTCTTCATGACTGGGGAGACGATGATTGCATCCGCATCCTGAAGAAGTGCAGGGAAGCTATTCCTATAGACAAAGGGAAGGTGATCATCGTAGAAGCTGTTATTGACGAAAAAGATGAGAAAGCAAACTCAAAGCTAACAAATGCGAGACTGATGCTGGACATGGTGATGATCGCCCATACAGGCACAGGCAAAGAAAGGACCATGGAGGAATGGGAATATGTTCTTGGGGAGGCTGGCTTTAGTCGACACACAATCACACCTATTCATGCTATACAATCTGTTATTCAAGCTTTTCCTTAAATTTAAAGAATACAATGTCAAGGGTGTAGATTTGTATTCTCAAATAAGTGTTTCCTTGTATTTTTCTAGTTACTTTTTGGTGTTTTTCCTGTTGAAACTTGTAAGATTGTCAAAATTGTTAAGTTAATTACCTTTACTCTTGCTTTGTGTAACCAGTTTGTAGTTTTTCGAAGATTGGCAATAAATTTTATGAAATGAGCTGTGGCTGCTATGTACCTTTCTATCTCAGTAGGAATATTTTGGGAAACCAAGTTCTTAGCTCTCCAATGTCTTTTTGCGTTAGCTTGGTCTTTTGATGTCCTTTGAGACAAAATCAAAGGATGAAACGTGATCTACTTGGCGACTTAACTTTTCCTTGTCTTTTAAGGCTTAGCCTTACGGTAATTGTTCTATTTGATATACCTAGTTAGAAGCTTTCATAGTAATGCGTCATGAGCCGTTATTATCTAACAGTTTGGAGTTATTATTAGCAAAATTGGATTTCCTTTGCCCAAGAATATCGACGTTTTGGATGAAATTTATTTCATACTTTTGTCATGATAAAAACTCAACAGAAGGCTTTCTATGTTGATATGAGGCTGTGAGCGTGAAGTTGATTTCAACAGTTATTTTCTAGACGCTAATTAAGCTCAGCTTGCTCCGTTGCACAATGTAGATGCTGGTTTTGATTTCTTTTTCCCCCACAATCTAGCTGCTGGTGAATGAAGGAAGCACTCAGTTTACCAAACCCTAATCCGAACACGTGTAGCTCGATCCATTAACTAATGTCAAGTAACAAAGCCCTGCGCATCTATGCTTATTTTTTGTTCTGGTTGTTTGGCGCCAATACTAGGTTCATTTGTAGGAACTGATCCATTCGTTATTATTTCACTCCTCTTGTAGTTTATGCCTAACCATTCTCCTTGGGACTAAAAGTTTCAGTGGTAATATCTTTCGAAATCTACATTGATTGCATTTTATTTTAACCCTTCTCTTCCGACACTAGGCATCTTCGAAAAAGTGCTTCACGTTCAAAATAGCATATACAAATTATTGGGAGGGGACCGGTTATAATTTTCAGGCTTTAAACATGAAACAGCTTTATTTTGATCAGCTTTATTTACAATTTAGTGATGTCTAGTCGGTATCGTATCTACATAGATCCTTTCTTTTTGTTGTTTTAATTTACTAAACTCCCAAAACATCTACCTCAACACATGTATCTCGTGGAGTTTGATGTTACAGCTTATATAAAGTGCCTTAACTAATTGACACTAATCCAACTTTCTTAGACCACATACTTTTTCAGCAAGCACATTTTCCATATGTACCTAGTACTTTGGCAAAAATTGTATCAAAGATTGAGCAATTGTGGAAAAGTATTTGAACCAACCGCGCATAGGATTCCATGGGATATACACTATTTATGATAGGAAATTTATATTAAACATATATTAATTGAATCTTTGGTAAAACCCAATCAAATTGATGGATTACATCAATGCTAATCACATGTAATTAACCAAAGCATAAACTGCAATCTCTTCTCCAAAATATTATATATACAGTGCTAGCTTATAGCCCAAGACACACACACATAGAGAGATGGAAGATACTCAAAGAGTGTTAACATGGGAAGAGGAGGAAGAACATGCCAAGGTGGATGTGTGGAAATATGTTTTCGGGTTTGTTGAAATCGCGGTGGTAAAATGTGCCATTGAACTCGGAATAGCTGAAGCAATTGAAAGCCATGGAAGCCCCATGACACTCTTAGAACTCTCATCTGCTCTAAGTTGTGATCCTTCTCACCTTTACCGCGTCATGAGGATACTAGTCCACCTCAAAATATTCAAAGAAATAACCACAAACCAATTAGGCTCCAAAGGTTATGCACAAACACCTCTGTCTCACCGGCTACTGAAATCTGGAGAAAATAGCATGGCGGCGCTGATCTTGCTGGAGAGTAATCCGGTAATGATGGCACCATGGCATGGCTTAAGTGCCCGAATTCGAGGAAATATTAGCAATCAATTGTTTGAGGAAGTACATGGGGAGGACATATGGAGCTTTGGTGCGGCCAATCTTGATCACAGCAAGCTTTTCAATGATGCAATGACTTGTGATGTAAAAGCAGCTGTGCCTGCGGTGATTAAAAGTTGTATAGAGGTGTTCAAAGGCCTTGAGACAATAGTAGATGTCGGCGGGGGAAATGGGACTATGTTGCGCTTGTTGGTCGAGGGTTGCCCTTGGATTCGGGGCATTAACTTTGATCTTCCGCATGTTGTCTCTGCTGCTCAGGATTGTGATCGCGTTGAGAATGTTGGAGGTGACATGTTTGATCACGTTCCAAAGGCTGATGCAGTAATCATCAAGGTAAGCAATAAGCATTTATACTTTTGTTTATGGTAATACTAATAGAATTCGTCATATGTTAATTAATACTTCAACTTTCACATATCGAGTGGTCTGCTAATGCAATAATTTGAGAAGAAAAAATAATGTTAAGGGTGGCTCTTCTAGCCTTACTCTATTATTATCTCTCTATAAATTTTCTTGCTCAACAAATTCGTGTTATGATACACAGTGCGAGTTGGTTGATTGTAGGGGGTTCTTCATAACTGGGGTGACGATGACTGCATTCTTATCCTTAAAAAGTGCCGGGAAGCTATTCCTAAGGACACGGGGAAGGTGATAATCATAGATGCCGTTATCAACGAAAAATATGAGAATGAAGACAAGAAGCTAGCAAATCTGAAATTTATGTTAGATATGGTGATGATTGCCCATACTAACAAAGGCAAAGAAAGGAGCTTGAAGGAATGGGAATATATTCTTGGGGGGGCTGGCTTTAGTGGACACACTATCACACCTGTTCCTGCTATCCAATATTCTGTTATTCAAGCTTTTCCTTAAATTTAACGAACACAAAATTAATGATGTGAATTTGTATTCTCAAATAAGTGTTTCATTGTAATTCTAAGTTTACTTTGTGGTCCTTTTGTCTTGCTTTGTGTAGTGTGCTTTGCAGTCTTTGGATGGTTGGCAATTAAAATTTGTGAAACTTGTTGTGGCTGTTGTAAGCCTTTCTATCTCAATGGGCATGTTTTTGAGCAATATGGTGCCATGCGAATATGGAACTTAATTGCAGGCAATGACGCTGATAAATAAAGGGCAAAGTTTTAAAAGAAATTTCACAAAACCACTTATCCAACTATGAGACTAAAAGCTTGAGGAGTAAAAACACTCCAACATGTACATCAAAAATTAGACCTTCGCCTTTTCGCTTTTATCTACTTTAGAATTTAGGGTATCATTGTAAGGCGTATATTTAAACACGACACATTAAGAACGACAACCATGAGCATGCATGAAACGTAGAATGAATGGAGAACTTACCTGAGGAAGGTCCTGCCATGGAGAGTCTTCTCCACTCAAGCAGTCGTAAGTCCTTTTGCTAGGGAAATAGGGTTTAGCACAAAACAAAGATGATTACTGTGAGTGCAGGGACTTCTTCATATATTAATGACTATCCCTATAATCCGACCTATTAGCTGATTATATGAGACATTCCATATCAATTAAAGTATCATAATAGTCCTAAATGGTAATGATTTCTTTGTCAACTAATTAAGGTTTTCAAGATTAATTGCACTAAATAAGGACTCTTAGACCTAACCAGATAAGGCTCCATGATTTCTTCAACTATTTACTCGGATTGGCTGAGTTGCTTGTATGTCAAGAAACATTGAGCACATGTTCTTTGACACTCACAACTTACATTCTCTTACTTAAGTATCCAAACATGATCCTTACTTGGCTAAGTGATAGGTGATCATTGAGTCCCTCAAAATTTGCAACTATACCTCTAACAACCTATCGCTAGTAGTTTAAATATTGGATTATAGAAAATAACATGTAACTGCTTCCACATGTGTCCTCTATTACCACAAATATCAAATTATGAGCACTATGTTGCTGACATCATTCGTTAATTCAGGTTGATAAGCAAAAAACCAACTCTTGAACTGAGCCTCATGCAAGCATGGCTCATATTTTGTCAAATAAAACAAAAATGTGAGAACAAAACAATCAGTATAGCAAATCCAACATATCAGTTTAAGGAAACATAACAATAAAAGAGAGAAGAGGAACATGTAAGTGTTTTACTCCCACTCATTAACAGATCAAAAGTCTCTCGCATACTCATATTGTAGTTATGCTTCTTGAACACAACAACTGCCAAACTCTTGGTCATGGGATTAGCCATCATGAGATCAGTGCCTACATGTTCAATATTCAGAAGACCCTTTCTCACTTCATCTCTAACATGCAGATACTTGATATCCATCAGCCTGCAAGCAATGGGTCTCTTGTCGTTCTTTGAAAAGAAGACAACTGCTCTATTGTCACAATATATAGTTATTGGTCTCTCAACTGAATCAACAACTTTCAGTCGTCCCTTGATAAAGTTTCTTAACCAAATTGCATGCTTAGTAGCAGTATATCAGCCAATAAATTTAGCTTCCATGGTTGAGGAAGCTGTTGCCTTTTTTTTGGAGCTTTTCCATGAGACAACGCCATCAGCCAACAAGGAAACATATCCACTAGTTGATTTTCAATTATCCACACAGCCAGCCAAGTCAGAGTCTGAGTAAGCAACCAACTCAAGATTTTGAACTTGTGTATAACACTAGAACAAGGTCTTTAGTCCTTTTAAGATACTTAAGTACCTTTTTTGCAGCAGTCTAGTGAAGAACACTAGGATTGGATTAGAAACGACCCAACATACTCACAGAAAATGCTAGGTCAGGCCTAGTACAGACTTGAGCATACATAAAACTGCCAACAAGTGATGCATAGGCTTGTCTTTCATCCATGCCCTCTCCAAATCAATTTTTTTGGGGATTGGTTAGTGCTGAACTTGTCTGTTTTTGCAATGGAAAGCTCTCCATCTGCACCCCTTGTCCATATTGAACCTCTTCATTACTCTATCAATATAGGTCTTTTGAAAAAAACTAGCATTCTCTTTGATATGTCCCTCTCAATCTCAATACCTAGTACAAAATGAGCTTTACCAAGATCCTTCATATCAAAACTCTCAGTAAGCATGCCCTTAGTTGAGTGCAGTAATGAAAAATCTGAGTTTGCAAGTAAGATTTTATCCACATATAGTACTAGAAAGATAAACTTGAAACATTGACCTTAAGGTAGATGCAGTCATCTATCTTGTTTCTTCAAAAACAAAAGTAGTTACAACTGGATCAAATTTAATGTACCACTGCCAATAGGATCGTTTTAAACCATAGGTCAATTTGTTGAGCCTGCAAACCATGGATCATTTTCCTTCCTCAGTAAAACCAGGTGGTTGATTCATGACTATATCTTCATGTAAATCACCTTTAAGAAAGACTGACTTAACATCCATTTGATGCAGTTCTAAGTTGTCAAGGCTATTATTACTCTCATGGAGGCATTGGATGAGACAGGAGAGAATGTCTCCTTGTAATCAATGCCTTCTTGTTGTGTGAATCCCTTAGCCGCAAGCCTGACTTTGTCTCTTTCAACCTCTTCTAGTGCATTTCTTTTGGTTTTGAACACCCATTTGCAGCCTATGGGTTTTGCATTTGGTGGAAGAGGAATCAGTGTCCAAACATGATTCTTTTCTGTTGCTTCAAGTTCTTCTGTCATGGCAGCATGCCAAAGATTAGCTTGATGGCTGTTGAAAGCTTGTTTGAATGACAATGGATCATCTTCATCTCCAATGTTATACTCCACTTCTTGCTAATAAACAAAAGCAGGTAATAACACATGTTTCTTTTGCATAGTCGAGTGCCTTAATGTCACTTATGCTGGTTCTACAGGTTGCATAGTTGAGTGATCTTCAATGACTTGTGCTGCAAGGTTGTGATCATTAATGTTTGTAGGGATCAGTTCTTCCAAATTCGTTGTCATATCCACATTTGGTAGAGTTGCATTATCAGGGGCCAATACGACAGGGAGGGTAATTGAAAAGTCTTATGCTGCAATCAAATCATTCTCACCACATCTTATTTCTTCAAACTCGATACTTGGATGTTGTACTTTATTGCTGCTTTCTTCTTCAAACTCAGAACTTGAATGCTGCACCAATTCCTCTTCCAATCTCAAAGAATTCAACATTGTTGGTCTCTTGTAGTTTGGTATGGGAATTAAGGCAGTAGAACTTAAAACCCTTTGATTTCTCAGAATATCCAATGAATCTACAACTTGTATAGTTCTTGGATCCAGCTTTTTCTCATGAGGGTTATAAAAACGAGCCTCTGCTTGGCAGCCCAAAATGTGAATATGATTGAAGCCAGGCTTCCTACCTGTCCAACCTTCAAAAGGTATTACTTGAAATGAGTTGCTGGGAACCCTATTCACTGTGTAATTGGCTGTTTTAAAAAGTGGTAACAGAGACCTTGAAAATATGGATTGAATCATTGACCCTTAAGGTCCTATTCTTTCTTTCTGCAACTCTGTTTTGGTGTTGAGTCCCGGAGTTGTATATTGAGCTACAATGCCATATGCTTCAAGATATGTTACAAAAGCACCTTTATGTTGACCAGTTTCTGTGATCCTGCCAAAATACTCACCACCCCTATCCGATCTCACTATTTTAATATATTTTTCAAGTTTTCTTTCCACCTCAGTTTTATATATTTTGAAACAGTCAAGCACGTATGATTTTTCTGAAACCAAGAACACATAACAATACTGTGAGAAATCATCAATGAATGTTACAAAATAGAGTTGCCACAGATGGTTTTATTTGGAAAAGGACTACACACATCAATGTGTATGATCTCCAAAAGAATTTTACTTCTTATTGATCGCATTATTCTTGTATTAGTTAGTTTTATCTGGAAGACTTTTAAAATCAAGATTGGGGGTGAGATTTTGCTTGGTTAGTGTAATTAATCTTTCTTTTGAAATGTGGCCTAGTCTCTTATGCCAAAGTTTGTCATTATGAAAGATTCTTTTGGAACCAACATGACAGACGGTGAAGCAATCGAGAACATAATCACATTGTAATTGCCACATATCAGATTGAAGTAAAGCAATGCCAAGTACAATGTGTAAATTATTTGAATGAAAAAGTTTTACCCCTTCATTGTTCCCAACAAAGGTATAACCAGACTGGACTAACTTTAAATTGAAATTAAATTACTTCTCATGGAAGAGATATAAAGAACTGGACTGAATGAAAAAATAAAACCAGATGAAAGCTTAAGTTGCACACTGCCAATGGACTCAACCACTTTGCTTCCATTCCCAATGAAAACATTGTAGACATCTTTATTTTCTCCCTTAGTTTTGTGAATCTCTGCAAGGTTTTTGTGATGTGAATTGAGAAACCAGTATCAAACCACCAATTAAAAGGAGGAACACAAATGAAATTGGACCCAAAACAAACAAAAACATTGATTTCACCTTTCTTAACGAGCCAGTTTTTAAAACCATTGCAATCTTTCCTTAGTTGACAATCTCTTTGCAAACATAACATGACTTTGGACTTTCAGAGGTGACTTTGAACTTTTGTCATCGTTTAAGAGGGTTAGTACCATTAAAAGAAGAAAAGTTTAAGGTTTTCTTCTGCTTAAAGCAGCCACAGAAGACTGGTCATTAGCAAGAAAGTGTTTTACGTTAAAATAGGTGGCATATGCAATATCTGTGAAGGATTAGTTTTCTTGACAGAATCGGAACCCTAGCGAACAACTAAAGAGAAAAGAAAACCAATCAGTATTTAAGCATGATAATAGAATTAACATTATATCTTTTGCATGACTTCATATCACTGGGGGTCTTTTGTAATAAAACTCAACACCTAGTAATAAGTGGTTAATTAAGTTGAGACAATATTGATGATGTTGGTGGTGGACCATGCTGATACTTAAATTTTATAAGTGTGTTTTTCTTCGTCAACTCTTGTTAGATTAAGGTATGGTTCACTTTTTAAATTTTAGTTCAAATCAAGCACGCTCTTAGTTGATTCCCGTAAATAAGATACATCAATAATAGACAGAGTCTCCCTTAATACATATTGAAAATTGGGTAGTTGAATCTTTGCTACAGTCCTAATGGAAGTAATGGAT